TTGCAGCATCATGGAGGGACCTAGAGATTATCATACTAAGTGAAGCAAGTCAGAGAAAGACAAATATCATATATTATTGCTTATATGTGGAATGTAAAAAAGTGATACAAATGAACTTATCTACAAAACAGAAAGAGACTCACAGACATAGAAAACAAACTTATGGTTACCAAAGGGGAAAGGTCAGGGGGAGGGATAAATTAGGAGTTTGGGATTAACAGATACACACTACTATATATAAAATAGATAAAAGACAAGGACCTACCAAAAAAAAAAGTATAAGACACCTTCAAAGAAAACCAGACTGAGTTAAATAAGAAATCCAACATAACTTCAGAAATCTTTTAAAAATTATAATTTAAAACTTGATACGTTAAACTGAAGATACATATCACTGAATAAATAATAGTGACTGGAAAGACAGGTCTGAGGACTACTTGGAAGCCTGCACAGCGAAATGAAGGGAGACAACACTTGGAAGAAGGGCTTACTGACATGGAGTGTGGATGGGAGGGTCCAACACACATCTATTAGGTGTTCCAGAAGGAAACAGCAGAGAGAATGAAGGTCAGGCAATATTCCAAGACAATAAAGGAGATTTTCCAGAACTAATGAAAGCTACGAACCTCAGCAGGTTAAATAATACGAAATTCTCTACTAGACACAGCACAGTATGACTGAAACAACACCAAGTAGAAATGCAAGATCTTAGAAGCACTTATAGATAAAAGACAGGTTGCCTACAAAAGAACGAGTATCAGTTTGTCCAGATCTTTGCAATGGCAAAAACAGAACAGAACAGAATAATATAGTCCAGGTGCTAAGATAAAACAGCCATCTATTTATAACTAAATTATTATTTAAGAATATGGGCAAAATAAACATTTTCAGGCAAATAAAGATGAAGAGCATTTACTACTAACAGATCTTTGCTGAAAGAATTACTCAAGAATATACTTCAGAAGAAATTGACCCTATAAAGAAGCAGTGAGATGTCCGATATTAGATAGATTTGAACAGATACTTAATACATAAAAAAGACTAATTGGGGAGTAGAAACGCAAGGTGGGGTGAAGGTATAGGTCGCAATAGTATGTAAGATGGGCGGGGGATGTGCAGAGGTCAGGCATTCAGGCATTTTGGGGAGAAGGTTGGCAACATTGATTTTTTAGACTTTATTAGATCGACTATGCTTATTAAAAGTTATGTAGAGGTAATCACTTAAGATGAGAAATTCTATGTATAACTTTTCAACCAGTAGAGAACACTATTGAATATAAAAGTGTGGTCAATATAAGATAGAAGTAAGAGAGAAAATAAAGAAGCAGAGAAAAGTCCAATTAAGTATGAAGCATGAAACAAGATGACTGAAATAAATTCAAATATAGCAGAATTCAGGAAAAAAGTAAAATTAAACTCTCAAAAGTCAGTTGTATTGGATTAGAAAAATCTAACTGCATGCTTTAAAAAGACATAGAACTTAAGGACAAAGAAATGTTGAATGTAAAAGTATAGAAAGTTAACTAGCAAAATATTAACCCAAAGAAAGTGATGTGGTTATAATAAGAGTAGACAAGACTGTCTTTGAAGCAAAAAAGAAATATTCGGGGAAAAATGGACACTAAATAAAGATAAAAAGGAACAATTCACTGGGAAGAGATAATTATAACTTGCAGGCACCTAAAACATAGCATCAAGTTATATGAGGCAACAAATTGATAAAATTTCAGATACATGGGCAATTTCATAGTCACAGGGGGATTTGGGGACACATCTCTTTTAGTAACTGACAGTTTAAGGTGACAAAAAGTTAGTAGGGCTATAGACTTAAGTAACACAATGAGCAAGGTTGATCAGACACCCCTGTGGCAAACGGACATTCTTTCCAAGAACACATGACACATTTACTAAAAAGCCACATATTAGGTCACAAAGCATTTCTTGATAAGCAGCAAAGAATCACACAGACCACATTCTTGACCATACTCAACTGCTAGACCAATTGAAACCAAGCCACATATTTGGAATTTTGGAGAAAAAAAACCCTTTAAATAATTCATGACTATAAAAGTGTCTTAATGGAGAGTCTAAGAACAAATTGTTAACATTATAAGAAAGTTCGGCAAGATTGCTGGCTATACAAAAGTAAATTTTTATTCACTGGCAACAAGCAACTAGAAAAACTTAGTTTAGAAAACTATACATGTGAAAATAGCAACCCCAGATAGAAAGGTACCTAGGAATACATCTACCAAAAGGTGTAGAAAACTTTTATGTATGAAATTTTAAAAATTCCTGAAGACCTAAGTAAATCGAAAGATACTCAATATCGATGGACTTGTAGACTTGATTTCTAAAGATGTTAATTTTCTGCAATTTATGAATGAATGTCTTCCTATTAAAATTCAAGCTAGTTTTTTTTGAGGTTCACAAGTTGATTCTAATGTGTATAAGGCAGAGCAAAGAACCAAGAAGGCCAGGCCAATTTAGAAGAGGTAGATCAACATATGAGGGCTCACTCACTTCATCACCATAGTAAGACCTAACTCTAGTGTGACTAAGCAATAAGAAAGCGATATTAGCACAGGAAAAGACAGAATACAGTCCAGAAACAGGCCTCCACACACATGAAAATTTGTATATAACAGAGATGCTATTTCAAATCAGTGGGGAAATAAGGACTTTAAGCAAGCAGCATTGGAACAACTGCTTATCCACATGGAAAAAATAAGTTAGATCCCTATATCAAACCATATTTAAATGGATTAAAGACCTACATATGAGAAAGCATGACTTTAAAAGTTTTGGAAGAAAATAAAAGAGAATGTTTTTATGATCTCAGGGTAGGAAAAGATTTCTTAACCACAACACCAGAAGCACAAACCATGAATGAAAAAAATCAATAAATTTAGCTACATTAAAATATTTTTAAAAATCCTTTTGTACATTAAAGGGATCATAAAGTGAAAAATACAAAACTGAGACTTGGAAAAGCTCTTTGGAAAAGCTCTTTCTTTACCAAGAAAGGATTTGGCCCAGAATTTATAAACAGCTCCAGTGGAAAAGGCCAAATGATATGAGGACATCCAATGCCCTCAAAACCTAAGAAATGATTTTCCTCCCTCCCAGTGATCAATGTCATGTAAATTAAACAAAAGGGAACTAACATTTCATATTCATTACACTGGCAAACATGAAAAAGAATCTGATGATGCCAAGCCCTGCCGAGGAGAGTATAAATGGGCACACACATTTTGGAGAACAAGATGTCAATATTTAATAAAGCGGTGGGATTGCTGGGTCAGAAGACCTGAGCATCCCCAGCTCTGTGCAACATTGTTTATAACACTGAAAAATTGAAAGAAAGCTTAAATGCAGGTATGGGATCTAGCAAGGGACAGATGTTTAATTAAGAATCTATTGCATACAGATATGTTTATTTTCTGTACCTATTTTTGTATCTTTAAACATTTCTAATTAAAACATCAGTTTTAGTGGGGGTTATGGGGAAAGCGCACTGGCACAGAGCTAGTGTGACTGTCAATTGGTACAGCCACCTCCCAGGGCAAATGAAAATGTCATGTGATGCAATTCTTTTTAACCCCTTGAATGGACAAAGGTAGAAAAGTTCCATAACAGCTTGCGTTGCCAAGAGCGTTGGGAGAGAGGCATGTTCATGCACTGCAGGTGGGAATGTAGTTTGAGGACACCTCTGTGGAGGTAATTTTGCCAACAGTTAATAAAATCGTAAATTCCCTTTGACCTGGTACAATGTCCTCTAGGTATTTATTCTAAGAAAATACGCCATATTAGAGCAAAACTTTATCTACACAGAAGTTCATCATAACAATGACAGGGTTGTTTGTAATTTAATAATAGTAAAAGAAATAACTAATACTAACATTATCTAGACTACTAACCCTAGACTAAACATGTCCAACACTAATAGGTTCTAATTTATGGTACAACTGTAGGATGGAATATTATATAGCCATCAAAATGATGCTCTTGAATCTTTTTAATGATGTGGAAGCTCTTGCAAAACATTAAGCTAATACGAAGTAGATTACAAAACAGCACGTGCAGCATCTATGCACTGAAGCAAAGACACCAGAATGTTACCAGAGGTTACTTCGGGATGGTTAGAGGCAATTTTTATTTTCTTCTGGATTAAAAAAAATCTTTCTCATACATTTTCTGTGTGTGTGTGTGTGTGTGTGTGTGTGTGTGTGTGTGTTACCTTCGTTTTAATAGGAGATGTTCTTCTTTGTTGAAATAATTTAAACAGGCTGCATGATATGGGCGGACAACGCCAGAAGGCCGGGGGCCAAGTATGACGGATTTGCCGGGTTCCTTGGGAAACCTAGTCTGATGATCACAGAACCTGGAGAAGGGCGAGTCCTTGGGTTCACTGTGAGGTCACAACTGGCAGCTGGGCGATCGGGAGAGCTGCTCCTCCTCTCGGAACCTTGTTTCGCTTCCGTGCAAAAGACCTAACAGCCTCGGCTGGCCTGGCTCCCGGCTCTGTTTGGAGGGTCAGCGGGAAGGTGTCCGGCGTGCGCGCGCGGTTTGCCAAGCCGCGGGCGCGGCGCTTTCCTCGGGGATTGCTGTTGCCGCGGCTGGGCGGCGGCAGCGGCGGCAGCGGCTGCAGCAGCAGCAGCAGCAGCAGCAGCAGCAGCAGCAGCAGCAGCAGCAGGGCAGTGCCAGCATGGCCGGGGGCTTGGCGGGGCATGGCCAGTTCCAGCAGCCTCAGGGACCCGGAGGCTACCCCGCGGCCATGCAGCAGCGTCGCGGGCTTGGGGCGCGGGGGCGGGGCCGGGCGCGGGGGCGGGGCCGGGGCAGCGGGGGCGGGGCCGGGGCGCCCCGGGTGGCGGAGGCGGGGGAGGCGCGCCGCCGCTTCCGCCGCCCGCGGGGATCCCCCGGGACTGCCGCCCGGGGCAGTCCCGGTGCGTGCGGGTACAAAAGGCAGCTCCGGGGCCCCACGCCGGCAGTTCCCAGCGATGTCGCGCGGCCTTCGGCTACTGCTTCTGAGCTGCGGTAGGGCCCGTGGACGCCCGGCGCCCCCCGCCCTCCTCCGCGGGACACCCCCTTTTCTCGCTTGCTCACGCCGCTCTCTCTCCCTCTTGCAGCCTGCAGCCTGGTGCCCGCGGCGCGGGAGGTGAAGGTGGCCTGTTCGGAGGATGTGGACTTGCCCTGCACTGCCCCCTGGGACCCGCAGGTCCCCTACGCGGTCTTCTGGACCAAGGTAAGCGCGGCGAGGCCGGCGAGTTAGGGTTGGGTGGTTTAATTGCAGACCGGGCAACCACCTTCCTTGGGCTGGCGACCCTCTATGGCTCGGGTTCGGGGGCATCTCCCATAGCTGAACTCGGTACCCGGTCTTCCCACAGGCCTCTCCCCATCCCGGCTCCAAGCCCAGCCGCATCCAGGTACAGGACGACTTAGATTTAGTTCCGCCGGGGACCTCAATCTTCTTGCCTCTAAAGGTGGCCCTGAGATGAATGATCCAAATAAGACGTTGTGGAGGGCAGAGAACCTCTTATTTGGATTAATTCCAGAGGCCACCTGTGGTTATGGACAGCAGGCCACGGAGAAAGCAGCTAGTGCAGATTTGGCATTGGATGGGAGGAAGGTCTCCGGATTTCTGATTTCTGGTGTTTTGTGACTGTGGTGCTCATACATTTGGGGAGGGGGCAACTTGAGAGGAAGGACTGCCAGAGAGAAGTGATAGGCTTGTTTCTTAGGTGGTAGTTATCTGTCATCCCCGTTCTGGGGTACCCTTGGCCTCCTCCCTCTGGCCGTCCTGAGAAGTCCAGCAAGGAGGACGTCTGTGACGGTGCACAGAGGCGTCCCCGCGTGTAAGAACAGTGTCACTGTCCCTACTGTAAGAGAATTGAGTCAGACTGAGGCTTTTTTAAGGTTTCCTCTGAGCTGGAACCTTTGCAGATTCTGAGATTGTGGTTCTGGTGGCACTGGAAACCCAAGCAGCCACTGTTTGCTGTCACTGGTTTTTTTTTTTTTTTTTTTTTTTTGCTGCCGATGCTCCCTGCCTTTAATGAGGTTACTGCCACAGTGGCACCTCTGGCTGAAGCACCATGACTGTGATATCCCAGCCTTACCCTGCGGAGCTCACTGATTTGTCATCTTACCTTTCAGGAAATCTCTGTGCGTTTGTAGCTTTCCACAGAATGCTGGGTTTTCTTCTGCCCACCATAAAAGATGCTGTAAGAACCTGCACAAGTATCTAGCCATTTAACAAGGCAGCACAGGACCGTTAACCTCTTTGTGTGTGTGTGTGTGTGTGTGTGTGTGTGTCTCCTAACCAGATTGTCAGTTCCCTGGGGACAGTGCTGCGCCACTGCTTTTGTGTATCCTGCATGGCACCCAGTGTTTGCCCTGCTAATTTGGAAGGTGCTCAGTGAATTCAGGCTGACCCTTTATGATTATGCACAGTGGAAACGGTGCTGGGGCCTCGGGACGCTGTATTGTGTATGAAAGTAGGTTTGTTATTATTCCTACTTCATTTCCACCTTATTCACTGTGGGATCAGAGAACACAGCAATTCCAAAATTGTTCCCTTGTAAAAACAATAGTATGTAAATAAAAATATTGTAAAACCAATATTATTTGAGTACTCACCATCTGTCAAGCTCTGAGGTAAATATCTATGTACATCAGCTGTTCCAATCCTTCCAATGGACTTAAGAGATCAATACTGATACTGTTCCTGCTTTACAATGGAGGAAACTGAGCCTTAGGGAGTGAAATAATCTGCTCACTGTTACACAGCAGGCTAATCGCTGGAGGTGGGATTTGAACCAAGCAGTCTGGCTCCACAGCCTAGGTTCTTAGAGGTCTATCTTGTTATTTCTGTTTTCTCCCTTAATTACTTAAAGAAAATGAAAGTGTCTTTGGGCTAGCCAGGCAGGGACTTGGTTATCTAAAAGGAGGGGAAAAACATGAAACCACTATCCCTTTCAGAGAGCAATTAAAAAGGGAAAACAATATTAATATCCCCAGGGGAGTAATTACAAAGTACTCATGAAACAAGTAGATGAAATTTCAGACTGTAAAGTTCAAACAGTTGTCAAGTTAAATCTTGCACGAGGTCATTTGGAATGATGCAGTAAACCAGAGTGATTAACCTTTGACTTTTCCTTGGATGTCAGCTGATGATGTAACTCTATAATGTATGTGCTTGTTTGTCGAAGACAGTTCTTGCAAGCTTTAAAGACCCTGAAGGTCTCTCAAAGCTCTGTTAAGAGAAAAAGACAATAGTCTCTTGGAATTCTCTTTTTTTCTGTTGGTCCGTGGAATAGGGTCATTGAAAACTCATACCCTAGTTATTTTTTTTAAGGAGGAAACTGTGATTGAGTCATGGTGGATAGGAGAGCTATGCTATGCCAGTAAACTAATCAGATACCTTGAAAGTGATACGCTTTATTTTTCAAGTACTTTTGAACAGATCTCAGCGGATTCTGTAGATGTTTGTTATTTTCCAGCCCAGTAATTATACTTTTGCATCGATTGTGCTTGTACAACAAAAATGGTTAGAGTGTTCTGGAAATAAGGCCAGTGGTGAAATGCTGAAATTCTGCATTTTACAGAGGATTATCTTGTCATTTCCTCCCACAACTTTCTTGTAAAATGTTTCAGTGATGCAGAGAGGTAGCTATGAAGTGAGGAATTTAAGCCTGGTGACCACAGCCAGCCTAGCTGGATCATCAGTAGGGTGGTTTGTAAAACCACTTTGCACAGTTGTAGGCTGCATGCTGATCAAGTAAGCAGAGAGTCCCTTGGAGTGTGTGGGGTTTCGCCGTCCGCCAGATTGAATCGCGTTCTTGCAGGCCTTCTGCATATCACAATTACGGTTATAACGACTCACAATTTAAAAATCCATTTACCACTCAGTTCTCCGGCACCACAGAGTATCCTGCCACTGTCCAGTTGGCACTGATTACTTATGATTAACAAAAGGACCCATGTAAACCATGTGTTTCTTATCATGTGCCTTTTACCAAAAGGCTCTGAGCAGACGGCGTCCACTTAGTGTTTGCAACATTAGGGTGAGTTGGGAACAGTGTCCATTTTATTCTCTCTGTTTCAAAGGTACGATGACAGGGGACTGGGCGGGGTGGGGTGGGGGTGTAATATAGACATGCCCAGGTAGAGCCAGGAGTGGGCAGAGACAGTCCAATTCCTGTTAGCCCAACTCTTCTTTACCGTGGACTGATGTCTTCCCAACTGGGATCCAAGAACGGGGCCTCCTCTCATCCCTTCCCGTATTGTACCTTTGAAGGCAGAGTGAATGCTTGGGAAGAAATAGAAAAGTTAATACAGTATATATCCATTCAGTTTAGCTCTTAGGATTGTGAATAGACTGTGGTTGTTGGGGGAGGTATTTTGAGCTATTCTGAGGCAAAGAGACGTTGGTCCATCACTCTTGTACCAAAGTAGAACGTGGCTGTGACCTTGGGTTAGCTTCTAGCACGAGAGGGTCATAGCCCAGTCCCATGTCTGCCAGGAGTAAGGACATCCCTTAAAGAGCTACGTCTGTGCTGCATGCGGAGCGGGTTCACGCGCTCTTTAATGAGGCTGCACTAGGTCTGGAAGGGGAGGATGACACTGGATGAATGGAGTGTTCGGGCGTGGTTAAAGTTCGCCACTGCTCGTAATGAGTGGTTACTTACGAGGGCGACATAGCACCGTCTCGTATTGTGCTGGGAGCCCCAGCACCCTAAGTTGAGGCATAATGAAAGAGGATATATAGTGTCATCTCTGAGTGACACCACGTGGGTGAGGACAGAGGTGCGTCACAAGACAAGTGCCCTTTCTAGATGATTTCCAAAGGAAGGGAGAAAGGGGAAGTGAGACCGTGATTTCAGAGAATAGATCAGACTTGAACTTTACAGTATTTAGGAGAGATGCAGCTGTGGCAGGTCATGGGCTCTCCTGGGGACTGAGGGAGAGCAGATTCATGGGCTCGCATGAAGTTACTTGGAAAGTTCCAGGACGGTCGCTACACGGATATTGCTTGTCCTTGATTTGTTATGAGCTGTCCTCCATGTATGTTGCTAATCTCCTATTCAGTGGAGTCCTGTTTTTTTGTCTCTAGCATCTTGTGTGACAATGAGCCCCAAAGCGAGGAAGTGCTAAGGAGGAGCCTTCGGAGGGGCTTAGGGTTGATGAACGGCCCGGGCAGATGGCATCTGTACAGCCGCCAACCCTGATGGACCCATGAAGGAGACAATGCATGCCGCTCACTGCACTCACCTGATTCTAGAGTGATGTGTGTTTTAAGATAGATTTGAGATGTTTTAGGAGAAAAAGGAAACATTTCTACATTAAATACAGAAGCGCCGAAACATTGAAATGTGAAAACAATGCCTGTGTGAGCATCAAAGAAAAATCATACCATCCCCATTGGCGCCTATACTGCTTGACCTGATTGAATAACCTTTAGGTCAGACTATGAAAGGCAAAAAGTGAATTTTCAGATGTCTCCCATATTTACATTTTCCTCAGTTCGTAAATATTTCTATGTCCCAAATGTGTGCCAAGCCCTGCGCCTGGCAATAGCCATCCTAAGACCAGGATGGACCTTTTGCCAGAGGACTGTCAAAGGCATGCACACATGAATCCACACGCATTTTGGGGGACTGAGGGGAAACTAATGATCTGGAAGGGAGAATCATACCACAGAGGACTGAGAGGTAATGCCAGCAAGCAGGCTGGGAACAGACTGTGAACACCCCTGAATGCTGAATTATAAGGGCTTGAACTTGGTCCTTTCGGCAGCAAGGAGCCTTCGAAAGTTTTTAAGCAAAGAGGATAACAACGTGAAAACTATATCAGAGGAAAAGCGTATTTCTTGTGGTGAAAGACAGACTATAATTCATCCCAGAAGATGAATCTTAGAGGGAAGCTTTAGTCTTTCACTGCAGTGAAACTGCCATCGGGTTAACTCAGTGAGGCTGCAGCACATTCCTGGGGGTTACCTCCCCTTCTCTCTTGGTCACCAGTCCTGTTGTCCACATGGTTCTAGGGAGGAGTGGGCCAGGCTCTAGAAGTCCCACCCAGAGGAGAACGATGGAGCGCTGAGATTTTCGGACAATGATGAGACACAGCAAAGTGGCTAAAAATCTTTCAGCTTGGAAGAGGGTAGGGAGGAAAAAGGCAGCTGAGAGTTAAAGAGAAAAAACTGCAAACACTTGTTTTCCATAAATAAAGGGGGAAACCCGAGTCACA